AATGGTTTTGATTGGTGGTTTGCTGTCACTCACTCCAGCACCCCGACATGAGAGCTGTGCGGGTTTTCCCTTTGTAGCAAGCAGCAAAATAATTGTACCATGACGTGTTTGAGTTAATTTGCCTGCTTGATATCGCACGTCCTAAAACATTTTTCTCATGTGACCCATTGTTCTAGATCTGATTCAATAAGTCAGCTCAACAACTGACAGAAAAATGATCTCTTTTCATTTTCTTCAAATGCTGTTAACGGCCTCTCAGATATGGAGATCCGGCTTCCCTCGGTTTCATATCACATTAAAGAGAATGTCTTTGACAGAACATTTTAAAAACTTCACCTTCAGGGAAATTTTGACGGAAATTTGTCAATATTTTCTGACCTTTTATTCACCGGCAGCGGAGACAGTGATGAAATAATTATTAGTCTTTCCTCTAATTGACTGTAAAAGTAGATTCATACTATACGCTTTGTTCCACACCAGCTTCTAACGGCCACTCAGACTGCCTGCGGATGATGATCGATTACGGGGAGGAGGGGGACCTCACCAACGTGGCGGACAAATTTGGCCAGTGAGTTATTTCTTTTTGAAAAGCATGACTCCATTGAGCCTAAAGCTGATTGGACCGATGTCCTACAACACCTAAAACCCGTCCTAATGGCCTCTTCTGTCCCCTCAGGACCCCTCTGATGCTCGCCGTCCTGGGGGGTCACACTGACTGCGTCCACTTCCTGTTGGAGAAAGGAGCTCTGCCCGACGCCAAGGACAAGAGGGGCAGCACGGCCCTGCACAGAGGGGTGGGTACATCATCATCATCACCATCATCATCATTTACTTTTAAAAATTCTAATTGAGCTTGCCGTTCTAAGATCAAATGGTTTTGGGCGATATAGAAACAGAAAGCAGCCTCTCCAGTTTGAATGCACTCTAGGTACTTTTATGGATCTAAGTGTCCTTGCTGGTTGATCAAATGAGAGACAGTCACTTCAATATGTTGGGGCACGGTTATGTAAAGCCTTGTAAATCATTAAGGACACTTCCATCGATGTGTTTCACCTTAATACTCCCTACAAAACAAAGTAGTGTGGCTAAGCTAGCTCGATTAGCACCTGCCTGGTGATTAAAGAGTGTTCAGTAGGTTTCTGTGTTATCGTAAGCATCTGGACTCGTAAGCAAATGTATGACTTCTCTGAGAATATGGGATTTAGATTTTTCTGACCAAAGAAATCCTGTAAATTCTCAATTTGAATTTCAGGAATGTTGAGTTTTTTCTTGGAACATTACTCCCTCAGCTCTTTAATCATTCATATATATTATTTTGTTTTACATTGACCCCATTAAGTCCTTGTATATTGCCCTGTCAGCAAAAAATATAAATATATTATTGGTAATTTTAAGTGTCAAAACACAACAGAGCCCTTTGCAAACTAGGCCGTGTCTCCTGGACAGTTCTAACGTCAAGTCCTGATATTTAAAAATAAATAATTGAAAGAAGATATCGATTGAATTCTTAATCTAAGAATACGAAATCCCTTTTATAGAGTGTGTGTGTGTGTGTGTGTGTGTGTGTGTGTGTGTGTGTGTGTGTGTGGTCAGCTGGCATGAAGAACAGCTTTATTGTCTCCATTGAAAGGTGAGGGGG